TATACCCCCAATTAAATATGGTCGTATAGTAATATTCAGGGAACTGGTAAACCTGTTTGTGAAAGAATCACTGTTTACACAATAGAAAACCTTTATCAACTGCTCAGGCGACTTAGCTGCTGTGGGTGCATGTTTCATTGCCTAGCAACTTATTTTTAACTATGTTTTACAGTTGAGACCATCAAATCTGAAAATCTACTGAAGACATATGGAAAAATCTTGTGTTTAAGAAATAAAACCTTTATTTTTAATAGAAAAATCTATAGATTTTGTAGATTTGACATCTGGCAAAAATGGCAAAAATATGAATATCATATTGGACATTGAAATTATGGATAGTTTATATCTTCATGAACATTCCATGGCCTCTTTAAAATATTACAAGTCCTGAAACATCAGCTCTAAGTGTATTCTTCGTGAAAAATAAATGGGATATTTAATGTGGGATAGACATACATTTTATCGTCTCTCCAATAACTTTTTATGTCCGTAGAATCATTAATTCCAGGAATCTGTAAGCGTTAGTATGAGTAGGCGTCAACTACTTGTGAGGATAAGTGGTTCTCAAGTGGAATAGTCGCTTGGCTTTTATGTGTCTTCAGTGTTTAGTTAATAATGGAACTTGTTGGAGTAATATTTAGAGAATGGTATGAAGACGAGAAGCAGTCATTAAAATTGATCAAATTAATCATTACTACTTTCCTAGAACACAGAAAATAATTCACTAAATCATTTGTTACAAACTTTACTCGCTATATTTACAGTCAGTGAAATTTGTTTGAGTAATAAAAATCATTCAGAAAGTATTTTTTCTGACTTTTTATAAGGCCACATGGAAATGTGGTTTTATATTACCGTCGCCCTGTCCGTCCGTCATCCAAAATTTCTTGTGAACACTCTGCAGACTGCATTTGATTATTTTGAAATTGATATATGTTGTTTACATTAGTGAGATGAAGAAGTCTATTTAAATTGAATAATTTCCATTAATTTCTTCTGGAGTTCTGGCCCTTGTTTCACTTTGGTGCTTCTTGTAAATGCTCTAAAGACAAAAGTTATCAATCGATCTGTATGAAATTTATGTATATCATTTAAATTAGTGAAACAAAAGAGCCTATTGAATTTCAGCAATTTCCGTCAATTACTTCTAGAGTTATGGCCCTTGTTTCATTTTGTTGAACCTTGTTAACACTTGAACGACAAAAGTTATCATCCGATCTGTATGAAATTTATATGCATTATTTAAATTAGTAAAACAAAAAAGTCTGAAGACTTCCAATAATTTCTATAAATTAATTTCAGAGTTAAGGCTCTTGTTTCAGTTTGTAGAACCTTTCTAACCCTCAAATGACGAATATTACAAACTGATCAATATGAAATTGTCTTGTAAATGCCCCCATTTACTTATAAGAATAAATATGCGACAACTCTTGTCAACTGCTCGGACGATTTACCTGCTGTGGGTGTATGTTTCGTTGCCTGGCAACCTATCTTCATATATTTTGGGGGAAACTTATGTCATTTTGTTCATCATCATCACTCCGTATAATATGTAAAAATTTATGTATAGAAATTCTAGAGATACAACTAATATCTTATGGTAAAATTTTGGATTGATTATTTCATGCATACACTGCAATTAAAAATAAAATGAAATACATGCGTCAAAAATGTATAGTGAATTATATTGTAATTTAGACCCTTAAACTACTCATTAGTTTATTTTGAATTTTTGGATTTAATATATTTTCATGCATATGTGACAATTAAACATAAAATAAAATGCACACATGGCAAAAACTTGTATAGTGAACTAAATTGAACTTAGGACTTTAAACTACTTAATATTTTTTGCTAGAATTTTGGATTTATTATTTATTCATGCATACATACTGCAATTTAAAATAAAATAAAATAAAACGCATGACAGAAACTTAGTCCAACGATAGTGTAACCTGGGCCCTTAAATTTTTCCGGTTTATAAACTTTAGAATTGGTTTTAAATTGCATAAACCTCGACATTTAGAATTTAATGACCAAACTATTTATTTCATTTGATGTTATACATTACAGCTCACGCTACTGTTAATGATAGTATGTCAAATTTTTATCAACGCAAATATGTTGACAATGCAAAAGATGGAAAAAAGTCAAATAACAATTAATGATTTTATCATTTCATGTTTTTTTATATTTATTCAATTATGTTCTTTAAAAAATCAGATCTGACTAACATCATACAGTTTTTATAATTCAGAAAATTCAATTATAGCGTGAAAGAACATTAATCATTTCGGAACTTGAGATAAAAGTTAGAAGAGCTCCTCAAGAGATTTTATTGGCCAATATTTGAATCTGGAAAACATTAGCACAGTAATCTTTTAACATTTATAAATCATAACTTAGCGTGTTTACAAGTTGTCTGAGAAATAAATCAGTGTAATGATATAATTATGGCTTTTTTAATCACATTTATTGCTGACTCTGTACGTTCATGGATTAAGTTTTTGTAGCTGGTCAATCCACAGGGAGATTTATCATTTAGTTCTTTGAACCACTATCACTATATAAAACTACAGTACAAGATAAAATTTGATTTCATGAGATCAGATTAATGGGATGGCATCCAATGACAAAATGTGTTAGGAAGATTGGAGACTCTTAACAGTGCACATAATCATCATCACGCATGAGGCAGTTTATAGTTCCTCCTTCTAGTGCATGTGATACCCCACATCAGTTATCTATAACTAACCATTTTTAGACTAACATGATTTTGTTTATGGAAGACTCCATCTGTCAGGTACAGGTGTCATGCATGAGACAGTATGCTTATTTCTTTTAGAACATCTGATACCACATCTCAGTTATCTATAAATTAACAACTTTTGATGTATGAAAGTAAACTAAAGATGATGAAAAATTCATTCCTTTAATCCAACCAAAATACACCAAAGTTCTTAAGGCATTAGAACTATGCAAAATAGATAGACTACAGTAGCTTTGGCTTCTAAAATCCAAGTACAAACTTCAACCATTTTATACACCCACATTGAAATGTTCATAAGATGAAAAAGCGTAAAATTATCATCTAGGAAGACATAATTACTTATGGGTTGCTGCTCATGATCAGTTTTTATAACAGCCTTTATGGCCTGTGCAAACAACTTTGCTACTGTGGGTGTATGTTTTATTGCCTGGCAACCTAACTTTTCATCCTTATTATGAATTGGTATCATTCCTTCATGAGAAATGCACTCTTTTATATCATTATAAATTGGAGGACTTAACTATGCTGTAGTTGCATTATTGCAATGAACTGAATCTTAAAATTTTGTTGCATTTGCAATGAACTGAATCTGAGGATTTCAATATACAAATTATAGGAAACTGTTTTACAAAACCTTTCTGGTGTGATAAGTGACCCACAAAAATTTGGCCATCGTTAAATTCCCATATATTTATTTCTATCATAGTGAACTGAATATCAAACGTATAATTATTATCTACTTTAACAACTTGATGGTCTGAGCTGACAAGAGTCCATTGAAGTAAGGGTTAATAATCTACTATCATCATGAGCCACGAATCAATAACGTAAATCACCGAAATCATCACAAATATTATATTTGGTATATGTTATTCGTTAGCAAGCTCACGACATCTAACGAATCAGACAGCCTGGAATAGATGTTTGTTCGCAAATTATGGGTTCTGAAAAATTAGCACTTAAAAGAAAATTTAGGATATCACATAGTTAGTAACCTCAGTCGTTAATTGCTCCTATATATTATGAGCGAATCTAATAAAACTAACAAAATGTTGGATTTCTCAAAGATTTTCTGTCAAGAGCAAAAGATTTAGTTTTTTTAATTACTAACATGGAAGAAATGAGCTGTAACAAAAGCAATATAATATTAGATTACAAACTTTTAGAAAATTCAATTTGTACCTTAATAAAATTTCTAGATTCCTTGACCTCAACAAAGCTGTAGAATATGGTAAAAATTAAAGGCGTTCCATTGAAAAAAAAAAGTATCTTTAAGAAAAGCTTTCAGTCTGATCAGTGCATTTCTACTTTAACAGATTGCCAAAATGGATGGTTCAGCAATAAAAGAGACCCTAGGAAAAGTTTTCTTTCAATTTTCTAGGAGCATAGATGAAACCCTGAGTCTTAAGTATAGCTTTCAGTTGGGTCAGTGTATTTCCACGTAAAAAATTGCCAAAATGGAAAGTACAGGAATAAATAAGGCCAATTTTAAGCAAATTACATGTAGATATTGCAGTGGCAGTAGATTTCAATTAACAGTGAAACCAAAAAAAACCTTCATGTATTGTTAATACACCTAAAGCCTAGCACACACAGGTGATATTCTTAGGCAACTTGGAAACGTTTTTTTAATTGTCCCCAAATTGCTTGATTGACTTTTGTTGTCAGCAACTAGTTTGATATCGGGTGACAAGAATTGCTGAATGCTCCAAAACCTACTTCAGGTGCTTCTATTAGTGACAGCAAGCAATCTCTTGAGAAACCATTTTTTGTTTTATCCAATCAGTGCAAGCTAAAATATCATGTGATCTTACAAAATAGCATTCAGCCTTAACTAGATTTTCATCCATGGCCATGTGCATTTTAACTAGTCAACTAGTCACAAAATTAGCGATGGCAATCCCTGAACCTAAAAAAATAGCTTGCACATGCACATACTGCTCTGGGATTTTGACAGCATTGCAGACAATTGCTCGTTGCTTCAACAAATGTGTGCTTGGCTTTAGTTATGACAGATGTTAGCTAATGCATATTCCATATGCTCTAATATCAAAGCAAGTGGATATTTGCACTTGTTATGGTGTACATCTGTGATACAACTACTGACATATCCTATTTTTAATATATATATATATATAAATAAATATGTAGATTGAAATTATGGCAAAAAAGAATGTTTATAAATATATTGCTTTTAATAATAATTTCTTTTTTCTTTATTATGTTGCAGTTGCTGGTAAACAGGATTTCAAGCCATCAACAAAACAATACTTTCGTAACTTGGGAGTTTAATTTCTGTTATTATTCTGATTATTGCATTTCCTAAGCTGTGTCTGTGATCTTAGCTTACGTCTAAGTTTTATTGTAAATTCAGATTAAAATTCTTGTACATAGAAGTAAAGTTCGAGCTTTAAATATTTGGAAAAGTAAGCTAAACCATCGAGATTGAACAAGAAATCCCCCACCATTAATATTTCCAAATTGTTCTAAGTGGTGATTGTAAATAAGAAAATACAAAATTTCCAAACATTAAATGCGTGCTTTTATTGGATAATAAAGACACAAGAAGGAATTTGTTTGGAGCTGCCAAAGGAATCGATATTGTTACGTAATTGGAGCCTAGCAGTGATCTCTTGATCTGGAGCTCATCTAGTTCTGTTTTTTCAAGAATTGTGGAAAAGTTTGTTTTGTAAACGTAGAGTTATTAAAGTGTGCTAGAATCTCGTATATTATGAATGTGGGAGATATAGGAAGAAATGGAATGGTCCATTAAAGTGTGTCTTATCCTATTCTTATGTGTCTTCATGTATGTCGGACAATCTTATGCACAACATGACTATTCAGGTGAGTTACTTTATTAATTTTTAATGAAGGAAAATTTATCCTTAATTGTATGGACACGTATATACATCTAAGAGACATGAAATGAAATGAAATGTTGTTTAATGGCACGTCCATCTAAGAGACATTCTGAATTGACTTTCCAAAGTGTAATTGACAGTTGTCTTCCTAATATGTCCTCTTCTTGAATATGGATAAACATAACTAAAAGGGTTCGATAAACAAAATAAATTCCTATATACACACTAGAGTCTGGTAACTGGACCCTCGGTATATTTGTGTTGGGGGGGGGGGGGCTTAAAAACTTAAATGACAATACTGGTGTCAGTCATTATTACATATCTGATAGCATTGATTAAATACCTGTGATAGCATTGATTAAATACCTTCCAAATATAATTTTAACACAGAGATTTGAAGAAACGGGAAGTGACACAAAAAATGGAAAACATGAGTTATCCTTAATTATAACTAACTAAAGGAACCAGCGATATAACAGATACATGGTTGAATTTCAGCTCATTCTATTTCTTTTGTTTTCTCTTTTAATGAATTGTCAGATATCATCTCACAGCCTTATTAATAACTTTTCGTCTTCAACAGAATTACCAGTGAGCTGAAATTCAACCATGCATCTGCTATCCCTCATTCCTTTAGTCACTTATAAGAATAACTCATGTTTTCCATATTTTGTGTCACTGGCCGTTTCTTCAAATCTTCATTAAGCATCTATTGTAGCAATCATCTCTTTGTTAAAATTATATTTGGAACGTGTTTAACCAGTTCTATCACATTTGTGATAATGACTGACACCAATATTGTATTTAACAGCTAGCCCAATTTTTTTTATAGGTTTATGGGATCTGAAGCTGTTCATGTACCTATTGATACTTATCTTAACCACACCCCAACCACAATTTCTAAAAAGAATTAAAAAGAAAATTTGCACAACCGATGTTGTACTCAAATTTCAATGTCCTACTTCTAATACTCAAAAAATATAAAGTTCAGTAGGTAATCAATCTGATTACCGGACAAAACGACCAAACCGACGAAAACGACCTAAATATATATATATATATGTACATACTATGTCTAAATGTTCGTCCAAATTTATGTCTGTTTTGTCAAATGTCCGTATTGCGTGCATGTCTGCAAATGTTTGTCCTTGTCTAAATGTTCGTCCACATTCATGTCTGTTTTGTCACAAATTTGTCTGTTTGTAAATGTCTACTGGCACGTCTATATTTTTTGCACTGTTATCTCATGTTTCATCCTGTTATCTATTGTCTTCTGTACATATATATAAAAACCTAATTATCCTCTTTTTTTTACTAATCACATTGTAAATTATTGCACCTTGTATACATAACATGTTATTGTCTGCGATATCACGTCGGTGGAAGCGGACGTAAAATACAAATAACACACACACACAATCTGATTAAAATACAGATCTATATTTCGTTCTGTTTTTTTTATACTTTCGATGGCCTATTCTACATGAAGATCTTGACCAGTTTTTTGGGGAGGTCGCATCAGAGGTCATACAAGTGACTTTATACCCTATGACGTCAGATATTTGATTAACCGATCAGCACTGATGTTTCTAGTGGATTACCCACGGTTCTGTGCAACTCATGTCAAAAGCTGGCCGTAACAGACCGTTTCATTGGCTAATCCCTCACATCATCCAGAACACATCAATGATAACAACTCTTCCAGATCCTAGTGTAGTAAAGACAAGTAAACAAAATTATAAAAAAAAACGAAATGAAATAGAATCTGTGTTTTAATCAGATCGGTAGGTAATCGATCCAATGTTATATTTAGGATACCCGCCAATACACGAAGAAAGATTAACTACATAGAGAATTTTAAACTAAGACCCTATTAATTTCATTTTTATCCAGTTACTTCAGCTTTTAAAATAGATTATTGACTCATGCACATACATCAGTTCCCAGACAGTCCAGACATATTCATCAGATGATGTCTTATTAGTGCATGTACCTAGATATTATTGTCAAGCCCTAATAAAATTAAACCAATAAACAAAATATTCTGGTGTATATAATGCCCTTGTAACCCAGTCAGCCATACATTTACCTAACATCTTTAATTGTTTCAAAAGTTTATGAGGGAGAAAATTATGGTTTTCCCAGAGCTAATTTCAAGCCTGATTATTCGCTCCAACTTCCTGTGAGACTCTAAGTCTGTCCAAGAAATTGGAGATTTGGAAATTTATGTTTTTTCAAAAGGGTGAACCAACCTGCAAATCACTCCTAAAGGCATCATTATAAAAATCGGTTTTGGTCAATACAAAGGAATATTTTTAAACTGACTGGCAGTGAATAGCATAATGGTAATCATCATTAATTGAAGCAGTTTTATTCTAAATACAGCTGAATAAGTATCATGACATCAGATGAAAATGATCTCATATTCTTATAAAAAAATGTGCTAATGATCTCAAATTTGTATAAAATTATGTTAAAGTCTCAAATTTGTAGAAAATTTTTGCTAATGATCTCAAATTTGTAAATAAATGAAAGATTACTTTTAAATAGATGTAATTTGTGGATGTTTGAACTATTTTGAAGTATGACCACATACAGTCACACACATACAGTCTTAAAATCTATGGTTTACTTTACAGACCCTTTTGTACCTTATTTATACCATTTTCAGATGCATCAATAATCTATTTCTATTGCCATATTACTGTTTTAGTATAATCTATTTTGGGCCTTGACATTTAAAGAATCCATGTAAAAGTAGCTGTTCAGTTAACATAATCGTGTCTGTAATATAGTTGTGTGTTTCCCTGGGTTTTAATTTAGAAATAGACTGAGAAGAATCTTCAGGATTTCTAAAGCTTGATTCTAACTTGTCAAAGGTAACGCTTAAGAAAATGGAAGTAATGTCTTAATAATGCATAGGTAATATTCCCCAAGAAACAAACTTGACAAGACAAACATGTCCTGGATTAATACTACCCTTCTTTAAAGGAGCTAAATCACTAACATTTGGGAGCTAGAAATTGATACAAATGGGTCGCAATGCATACAATAATGTAATATGAATGTATATAAATTGATTTATATTTAATCATTACCGTTTTTACTCGGTTAAATAAATCAGACGTCTCAATCGAATGGCAATCTCTAGCGTCTGGTTATTCCAGTCTACACCAATAGCATTTATTGCGCATGCTCATCTCTTGACATGACTTATGGAATATGTCTAGCCTAGTTCTTTCGAGTCCCTTGTTACAAATGGCGCTGAAACGCATTATGGTATACGATTCGTGTACCAATAGTCAAATGTTTATTTTGTCTTAAATGTTGGATATCAGAAGCCCATCTTTTCCCGGTAAGATCACAATATCAATGTTGATTTAAATTAACAAATAATTTATGTTTTCAGTGTCGAAGACTTTGGATGATATGATATTAGAGTTAGAGACTTAGCTACTTTAAATACAGTCTTGTCAAGTTTATTGCTTGGGGAATATTACATATGTATTCTGATATTTTCCTTATATTCCCAACTGTATCACTGAGATCCAATATTAACTGAATGGTACAGAGATTTTACCATCTATCAGCCATACTTTCAGTAGAGAGTTAATTTGTCACAGTCTTGGATTTTATTGATAGTCTTAAATAAATGGGGAGAACAGGACAAATTGATAAATGAAATAAAATACAATTTTATGCAGCATCCAGCTAATGAAGATGGTCAAACACTGTGCGTTGTGCTACAAGGGATATTTTGCCTGGATAGTGGCACTACACCTACTCTTATTTTCATTTCCAACTGTTAAGGGATCATTAATGTGCTGCCATTAAGGAGCCTATGTTTTTACTATGATATTCATTCTCTTCCTTGCCAGGTCCTCTATTCTGCATCACTGACAGGGGCAGTGCATGTATATCCATAGTAAAGGATGGCTGGAAATGCCACATAGCAGTGCATATAATCCATAGTAAAATGGTGGCTGGAAATGCCCCATGGCAGTGCATATGTATCCATCGTAAAAGGGTGGATGGAGATATCCTATGGCAGTGCATATGTATCCATTGTAAAAGGGTGACTGGAAATGTCTCATGGCAGTGCATATGTATCCATAGCAAAAGAGTAGGTGGAAATTTCCCCCATTGCAGTGCAAATGGCAATGTATATATCCATAGTAGAAAGGTGGAAATGTCCAATTGCTGTGTAGATGTATCCATAGTAACAAAAATAACCTTAAATACATATAAATGACCATGGACATTTTTGACAGCAACAAACCACATGTCATACCATTCCATTAACCAATACTCATATTTCATTGGCGTGTTTGTCCGTTTTTATGACATAAAGACTAATGCTGTTAAGAAAAAAAATATCCCACTGGCTGGCGCCTCTCTTGCTATTTGTGGATAATATAAATTAGAGGCCATTTTGATATTAATATTAGAGCTTAATGCCTCTTTGAAAATGTCAACCCATTTGAGATAATTAGCTCGTTCCCTACATCAGGAATATAAATGTCTAGCATAGTGTATTTGTCGAGAAATAATGAACCAAAAGATGAATAATGTATGTAATAGGACTATTTTAATGCATGCTATTCTTTGTGCTATGCCTATAGGGATTTCATTTCAGACATATTTAGCATCCGTGAACATTCAAACTTACAGGATCCAATTTTTGAATTAAAACACATACACAATAACAATGAAATAAAAATTGACCAGAATCCTTTTATTTTATATGTATTGTGCAAATTTTTTAATTGAAGCATATACATAATAACAATGACATAAGCGTTTCCAGAATTATTATATTTTATCATAAAATAACTGGTTTTATGTGTGGGTGATTCGATCGATAGTGTGTATATGCTGTCCACGACATACCTAGATTGGAATCCCAAAAGGAGTGAACTGTTACCATAACTTAAGGCTTTTGAATAATTTGTCAATGAGTGTGAGACACCATTTAAGATTGGC